TATTCACTACCACGAGAACAGTATGGAGGAAACCACCCCCCTGATTCAGTGACCTCCCACCAGGTCCCCCCAACAACACGTAGAAATTATGGAGGCTACAATTCAAGATGAGATTTGGGTGGGGATACTGCCACACCGTACCAGTGGCCCTGGCTTCTCTCCCATCGGTTCTCTTCTACCTCCCAGACTCTTTTGAGCTTTGCTTTTCTTCTTTTTCTTTTTTGGAGACTGGAGTCTCACTGTGTTGCTCAGGCTGGTCTTGAACTCCTGGGCTTAAGGGATCCTACCACCTCAGCCTAACAAGTAACTGTGACTATAGGCGCACACCACCATGCCCCCACAACTTACCCATCCTCCCCATCCCAGTGAAATCCCCAGGTTCTTCACAGCCCTCTTAGCTCTAGGCACCAGTGGCTTTGCCTTCTATAGAATGGACGACATGATAGCATCTTAGAACAAGCGGTCGTGGGGATTAGGGAGGCTGGGAGTTCTTTCTTCATTCAGGGATTAAACCTACCACCTGAAGGGGTGACATGGCTTGCCTCAGTCACCAGACAAGATCAGGAGAGTATTTTTGGGACAGACATTAGAATGTTGAAAGGGAGGACACTGCAAAGTCACTTTCCCCTGACAGTATCCCCCCGACAGATAAAGTGGCAAACTCATTTTCATTCCCTGTTTGCCTTTGACGAAGCTCTAAACCATTTTAATTCTTTTTTTTTTTTTTTTTTTTAGACAGATTCTCCCTCTATTGCTCAGGCTGGAGTGCAGCGGTGCAATCTCGGCTCACTGCAACCTCCGCCTCCTGGGTTCCAGCAATTCTCCTGCCTCAGCCTCCCAGGTAGCTGGGACTACAGGCACCCACCGCCATGCCCGACTACTTTTGTATTTTTAGTAGAGATGGGGTTTCACCATGTTGGCCAGGCTGGTCTCAAACTCCTGACCTCAGGTGATCTGCCCACCTTGGCCTCCCAAAGTGCAGGGATTACAGGCATGAGCCACGGTACCCAGCCCTATGTTAAGCATTATTAAAGAATAGGATTGGAGGCAGTAGCTTTCCTGTAGCAAGTGCTCACTATGTGCCAGATACTGGGCAAAGGAGTTTGCAGACATCTCTCATTTCATCCTCTCAATCCATGAGGCAGGTATGACTATTCCCGCTGTGCAGAGAGGGAAAACAAGTCACATGGAAGCACGTCACACAGCAGAGCTAGGATTGGAATGGAAGCGCCTGCATCCTCCAGCGCCTGCATCCCGCCCGCTGTGCTATGCCTCCCCTTGATGCTTTCCTGTGTCTGCCATTTAGCTTTGCTCTGGTGAGTGACAAGCTGTACCAGCGGAAAGAGTCTGTCATCAGTTCTGTGCACACCAAGGTGAAAGGGATAGCAGAGGTGAAAGAGGAGATCGTGGAGAACGGAGTCAAGAAGCCGGTGCACCATGTCTTTGACACCGCAGACTACACCTTCCCTTTGCAGGTAAGCGCCTTGTAGTATTCTCCCAGGCTCGCCGCTGGTCACCGTCGCCAGGGCCTTGTCCCTTTCCCCTGGGATCTAGAGCCTCACTCCAGAAAAAAAAAAAAACATTGGCCCTATTTTAAAAGCTCTGTGAACATCCCAACTGAGAAAACCTAAAAATTGCAAAACTGGGTGAGATCCAGCAGCTCAGAGATGATTCTTTGCTTTATGAAGTCCTGCAGGGTTTCCCAGAATAGCAGCATGTCCTGTGTGCGTTGAAAACAGGGTTCGATTCACTCACGCTTGACGTATCGCAGCTCTCTAGAGGCACAGCCAGCAAGCCAGCAAAGTCTGCTTAGAGACAGAAGGACGGAGAACTTTCTACTGAAGAGCACCAGCCCTTCTAGATTGTCCGTGTGGCATTTTATCAACAAAAACGTCTCCAGGAGACCATTCTTGGGTACATTTTTGCACAAAGAGAGGATGTAAATGACAAAAAGAGGAAGGCGTCCGTCACAGAGAGAAGGCGTGTGACTGACTAAATTTGAAAGCAGAGGAAATGAAAGCAACATTGCCAAAAAGGAGAAATTAAACTAGGGTGAGGAGGCCAAAAAAAAACTGATAAGGGTCTGAGAGGGACAAAGGGGCACATTTGCAGCCTCGGGGAGCTAAAACACTTTGCAAAAAACCCATAAAGCCCAAGCTGCTATCTGTTTGCTTCTAACAGTGTGTCATGAAAATCCTGTGACTGCTCAGGCGGTGGGATGCCCTGGTGCCCTTTAATGAAAGTCTGAGAACATCTGAACGGTGTTCCGACAAAGGCTGCTCCCCTACCCTCGCCTACCCAGGTCTCTTGAGTTTCAATTTAAGGAGATTTTACTGTGTAAAAAAGTACGAAAAGGCTGCTTTTGGGACTGCATTGGTAAACGACTCCTCAATCCATTCGAATGTTCCTTTGCTTTTCCTCAGCTCAGCAGGGCTGCTCGTCCAGCTTTGATATTAAGCCCTCGGCATATTCCAAGTTGCCCACAGACCCTGATTTCTAGAAGCTTAGAAAAGTGGAGAGGTTCACCCCCAGGCACTTAGCAAGCTGGATTATTATAATTAAGTAGTTTCTCTTTTCAAAGGCCTTGCATTGCCTTAGGGTCTCCTCCTCCACAGGGGAACTCTTTCTTCGTGATGACCAACTTTCTCAAAACGGAAGGCCAGGAGCAGGGGTTGTGTCCTGAGGTAAGGAGGGGACCAGGAGTGGTGGGTCGGGCTGTAAGAGTTCCTGGGGGAGGTGCAGGTCAGAAGAAGCAGAAATGAGGAACCTGAGGTGTATTTGAGCTGACAAATATTTACTGAGCACCTGCCTCTTTTGTAGGGTCGGGCTGGGCTGAGTGGAGGAAGGGAGAGAACACACCCACTTCTTAGAGCCTCAGTCCCTGCGTCAGGCACACGCGCCCCCATGACTCCCCACAACCCCAGACAGTCTTTCCCAACTTGGCTTTGCCCTCTCCACAATGCTGCCCTTTTCTGGAAAACCTTCTTCCCTATCAAATCATATTTGTTTTATTCTGGGCCAGGTGTGATGGCTCACACCTATAATCCCAGCACCTTGGAAGACCGAGGCAGGAGGATCATTGGAGCCCAGGAGTTCAAGACCAACCTGGGCAACATCGTGAGACCTTGTCTCTAAAAACAAAATGAAAACTGTATTTGTCCTATTCTGTACCTCACCGTCCTGCTGTCTGCTCTTCAAGATGAAAATCAGCTATTCTTCTAAGTTTATCTTTACCGGTATGTTACCATTACACATTACCTGTAACTCCCAACCTTCCAGCCTCCCCTCTCAGGTAATGTTACAGTGCTCTACCAGGGACCATTCCCAACACTGAGGGATGCAGCAGCACTGGTAGTACCCAGCCAGGTCCCCCACTGATGAGTAGGACCAGCCCTGCCGGTAGGGCTTTGCTCACGGGCCCACTCTGGCAACAAGGTCTAGCTTCCTGAGTGTCCAGGAGCTCTGGGTAAAAATGCTGTCTTCAAGTACATCATTTGTACCCAAACTCGGAACCAAGATAACATTCCTTTGGTGTGTATCTTGATAACACTTCCCCTAAAAGGAGAGCTCTCTACGTTTGTTTTGTCCTCATCCCCCCTTAACGATCCCTGCTGCTCAGATGAAATCTCTGACAGCCAGGCCAGCCAAGCCCTCCCTTCTGCCTTGCTTCCTAGCAGTATTCCATCTCCAATCCACTTTGGGGGCCCTGGTTTTCTTTTCTTTTCTTTTCTTTTTTTTTCACTTTTTTTTTTTAAAGACGGGGTTTCACCATGTTGGTCAGGCTGGTCTTGAACTCCCGACCTCAGGTGATCCACCCGCCTTGGCCTCCAAAGTGCTTGGATTCCAGGTGTGAGCCACCACGCCTGGCTCTTTTGTCCCATTCTCTGGTCATCTCTACACCATACACCGCACACCACCCCCGTGTACACAAAAGACACTTTTGGAGTTATTGAAACTTGGAAGAAAAGAGAGTTAGGATAGCCCAGAGATTAAGACCCTGGGCTCAGAAGCTAGACTGCTAAAGGTTCAAAACTTAAACTTCTTAGCTCTGTGACCTCAGGCAGGCAACTCTTCACCTCTCTGTGCCAAGTTGTGTGCGTCTGTAAAATGGGGCTGAGAACAAACATATGACCTGGGCTCTGCATTCGAAGGGTTCATAGTCTAATTTGGGGAATCACAGGAGGAGACCAGGGGCATGCCAGGTGACAAGGCAGCCTGGGGAGAGATCATGAGAGAGTTTGAAAACTGTAAGAAACATTCATTGAGCATGTACTATGTTCTAAATCCTTTCTTTTCATAACTCGTTTAATCTTCACAACAACCACGCAAGACAACTCTGTTCACTCTGCTTTTACAAATGAGGAAATTGAGGCTCAGAGAAGCGTGTGAGTTGGCCAAGGTCTCTCAGCTAGAAAATGGTGCAGCTACTGCTGAACCAGGTTTATCTGGGTCCAAGAACTAGGTCCTTGACCTGAATCCCTGTAGAAACCCCAAACTGCACAGATGACAAGGAGCAGAGGCTATTTTCTTTTTCTTTTATTTATTTTTATTTTTATTTTTTTGTTTGAGACGGAGTTTCGCTCTTGTTCCCCAGGCTGGAGTGCAATGGTGCGATCTCGGCTCACCGCAACCTCTGCCTCCCAGATTCAAGTGCTTCTCCTGCCTCAGCCTCCCGAGTAGCTGGGATTACAGGCATGTGTCACCATGCCAGGCTAATTTTTTTTGTATTTTTAGTAGAGACAGGGTTTCTCTATGTTGGTCAAGCTGGTCTTGAACTCCTGACCTCAGGTGATCTGCTTGCCTTGGGCTCCCAAAGTGCTGGGATTATAGGTGTGAGCCACTGTGCCCAGACACAGAGGCTATTTTCACATCTATGTCATGTTCTGGTTTCCCCAAGACTGGCCATGCAGCCTGCTCCCTAGAAAACAGGAAGAGAAATATGCATATGACCAGGGCAGCTAATTTCTCTTTTCCATGTTCTATAATTCAGCACTGAGACCCAGCTGGTCTCATTTTCTTGGGCCAGGCGAGTGTCCTGGCCAATGTCCCTCAGTTCCACTTGTCCTGCTGAGTCTCCGCACCTGTCTGCCCTACTCAGTCTTTTCAGCCACAGGGCTACTTGGACCAGGCCTCCTGTCCTTCACCTCAGCCATCATCCCTGAAAGTGATCCCTGGCTGCCCAGAACTCTGCTTTCCCCATTTTTATGTATTTTTATTGTGATATATTTCACATACCATAAAACCACCATTTTAAAGTATACAATTCTGTGGTTTTTAGTATATTCACAGAGTTGTGCAACCATCACCACTGTCTAATTCCAGAATATTTCTTTATCCCTTTTCTTTTCTTATTTTGTTTGAGGTGGAGTTTTGCTCTTGTCACCCAGGCTAGAGTGCAGTGGCAAAATCTTGGCTCACTGCAACATCTGCCTCCTGGGTTTAAGCAATTCTCCTGCCTTAGCCTCCCTAGTAGCTTGGATTACAGGTGCGCACCACCACGCCTAGTTCATTTTTGTATTTTTAGTAGCTACAGGGTTTCATCATGTTGACCAGGCTGGTCTCGAACTTCTGACATCAGGTGATCTGCCTGCGTCGGCCTCCCAAAGTGCTGGGATTACAGGCATGAGCCACTGTGCCCAGCCTCCAGAACATTTTCATCACCCGCAAAGGAAACCCCAAATCCATTAGCAGTCGCTCCCCATTCTCCCCTTCCCGTGGTCCCTGGCCACCACCAATTTGCTTTCTATCTCTATAGATGCCTGTTCTGGACGTTTCCTATAAATAGGATCCTACCTGATGTGCCCTTTTGTGTCTGACTTCTTTTACTCAGCATCATGGTTTTATTTGTTTGTTTGTTTTAGATGGAGTCTCAGTCTGTCGCCCAGGCTGGAGTGCAGTGGCATATCTCAGCTCACTCCAACCTCTGCCTCCCGGATTTGAGCAATTCTCTGCCTCAGCCTTCTGAGTACCTGGGATGACAGGCACCCACCACCATGCTCGGCTTATGTTTTTTGTATTTTTAGTAGAGACGGGGATTCACCATCTTGGCCAGGCTGGTCTTGAACTCCTGACCTTGTGATCCACTGCCTCGACCTCCCAAAGTGCTGAGATTACAGGCATCAGCCACCACGCCCGGCCTAGCATCACGTTCTTGAGATTCATCCGTGTTGTAGCCTGTGTCAACGCTTCGTCCTTCTTATGGCTAAATAAGATTCTGTGTATGAATGTGCCACATTTTATTTGTCCATTCATCCATCAGTGGCCACTTGCATGATTTCCATGTTTTGGCAATTCTGAGTACTGCCGCTCTAAACATTCATTTGCACATTCTGGCGGACATCAAATCACTTCTCCATGTCTTGGTAACACATGCCATTTACTCCCACTCTCTCATCCTTCTCTCTGCAGTATCCCACCCGCAGGACGCTCTGTTCCTCCGACCGGGGTTGTAAAAAGGGATGGATGGACCCGCAGAGCAAAGGTACCTTCTGCTTCTTTTCCCGAGGCCCTAGGGATGGGTGGTCTGGCATCTTGGTGACATTTGCGATGCCCAGTTCAGGGCTTCAGCCTCTGCTCTCAGCTGCCTTCTTCTGCCATCACCAAGCCATCGGCGAGTCTGCCCACACGTCGGCTCTGTCCTCAGCAGACCAGCTGGTGACTGTAAACATGATTCCAGTTTCCCAGTGAGAGAAGCTCCAAAAAGCCTCACAGGTTCAGGGTTCTCATTGGTAGAAAAATCACATGGCCTGGCCTGGCACTGTGGCTCACATCTGTAATCCCAGCACTTTGGGAGGCTGAGAGGGCAGATTATGAGGTCGGGAATTCAAGACCAGCCTGACCAACATGGTGAAACCCCATCTCTACTAAAAATACAAAATTAACTGAGCGTAGTGGCACTTGCCTCTAGTGCCAGCTACTCAGGAGGCTGAGGCAGGAGAATCCCTTGAACCCAGAAGGCAGAGGTTGCAGTGAGCCAAGATCGTGCCACTGTACTCCAGCCTGGGCAACAAAGCGAGACTCTCTGTCTCAAAAGAAATATCACATGACCCACAGCATCATCTGCGTTTTCTAAACTTTCCCCCTGAATCTCCTCAAAGGTTGAGGATCATGAACTTATACACACAGGGCACCTGGAAGCAATACCCACATTAACCTGCAGAATTTTTTTATTTTTTATTTTTTACTTAAAAAATTTTTTGAGGGGCCGGGTGCGGTGGCTCACGCCTGTAATCCCAGCACTTTGGGAGGCTGAGGCGGGTGGATCACGAGGTCAAGAGATAGAGACCATCCTGGTCAACATGATGAAACCCCATCTCTACAAAAAATACAAAAAATTAGCTGGGCATGGTGGTGCGTGCCTGTAATCCCAGCTACTCAGGAGGCTGAGGCAGGAGAATTGCCTGAACCCGGGAGGCGGAGGTTGCGGTGAGCCGAGATCGCGCCATTGCACTCCAGCCTGGGTAACACGAGTGAAACTCCGTCTCAAAAAAAATAAATAAATAAATAAAATAAAATTTTTTTTGTATTATTTTATTTTTCTTTTGATTTTATTTATGTCTAAGAACCATGCTATTGCAATACCTACAGAATTGCTTTATCTCACATTTTAACTTAAAAAAGCACAGGGCACCAGGCGCAGGGGCTCATGCCTGTAATCTCAGCACTTTGAGAGGGTGAGGCAGGTGGGTCGCTTGAGGTCAGGGGTTCGAGACCACACTGGTCAACATGGTGGTATACTAAAAATACAAAAACTAGCCAGGTGTGATAGTGCACACTTGTAATCCCAGCTACTTGGGAGGCTAAGGCAAGAGAATTACTGGAACCTGGGAGGCAGAGGTTGGAGTGAGCTGAGATCACGCCACTGCACTCCAGTCTGGGTGACAGCGCAAGACTCTGTCTCCAAAAAAAAAAGCACAGGGCAATTTTTAAAATACTGTAAACAATAAAAAAAAAAATCAGTGGTTATAATACAAACACACACAAAAAGGGATATAACCATTATTTTATGCTACTCCACACTATATGTGTATTTGAGTTGATACAAAGGCTATTTTAACATTGCTCACTATTTATTTATTTCTCTCTCGGAAACTGGTTAATCATCCTAACACTCCAGGAAGATGTGCCATGTTTATTTCATGGCTTTGCAAATGCTGAACAGGCTGTGTAGCCCTTGAGAGACCTGTGCCCCTTTAAGAGGCCATGTTCTAGTCCATTTACACTGAGAGCATACACCTGTTCCGCTCCCCTCAGGGGCATCTTTTCTTGTAAAGAAACAAAAGGAGCCAACAGAATCCACAGTCTTTCTGTGTTCTCTCTGATCTTTATTAGGAAGCTCGCCGTCCAATGTTTTGCTCGTTTGCTTTGCCTTGTGTTCGCTATGGTTAGGATGGGGCTGATGGACGCTGGAGTCGTTGTGATTAGGATGGGTTGATCGATGCTGGAGTCGTGGTCGGGATGGGGGAGGGCAGCTGAACTGCGTGGGTTGGAAAGCCTGGTCAAAGCCTCATCTCTAGCCTGGGTCGAGTTAATGACATCCCTCCTGGAGAACTTCCTCTCCACAGTCCTTTCACATCCGTGGTTCTGCGATGCTTTGACCTCCACAGGAATTCAGACCGGAAGGTGTGTAGTGTATAAAGGGAACCAGAAGACCTGTGAAGTCTCTGCCTGGTGCCCCATTGAGGCCGTGGAAGAGGCCCCCCGGTGAGTCGCACGGAGAGACAGACCGTGGCCCTCAGCAACGGTCAGATAAGGCCTTGCTGAGGCTGCCTGGGCTTTCCCGTCTCAGCACAGCCCTGCAAAGTCCTGAGTCCTACTGGCCTGGGGACCCCGTGCTCTGGATACACTGCATGGCACAAACTAGAGTCTCTGGGAGGGCCATGGCGGTTGGTAAACTATTGTAATAATTCTGTACCAGCTGGTAAATAGCTACTACCCTGAGCATCCTTGGGGGTCCCTGGCCCCCTTCCCTCCCCCAGCTCTTCCAGGGCACCTCCAGACCCCTCCTCTAGTGCCACAGCAGAGGCCCTTCTGACTTGCCAGTGTCCATACTGAGTGACTAAGAACAGGAAGGAAGGAAGGAGATGGAAGGGAAGGACGAAGCAAGGAAAGAGAAGGGGAAGGGGAGGAAAAAGGAGAAGGGGTGAGGGCAAAGGAGGGGAGGGAAAGGAAAAGGACCTTTTCTCAAATTAAATGCTCACAGTGACCTACAGATTTGGTGGTCCCCTGTATTGATTCTTGTTGTCAACAAACAAAGTCAGGATGTTAAATCTCAGCAGCCACAAGGGCTGATGTATTTCAGCAGGGAATAGTTAGAAAGACCTGGATTCAATTCTTAGCTCTAACACATTTTTGCTGTGTGTCCTTGGGCAAGTAGCTGAACCTCTCTGAGTTTCAGTGTCTTCATCTGTAAAATCAGAATAATAATTTTGCCAACCTCATAGGGCTGTGGTAAGGATTAAATGAGATGATACTTATAAGTTATTGTAAAGTAAGCCCCATGCCTGGCTTATACACACACACAATCTGCCCCTAGGAGTGTGGTGGTGCTTGACCAGCATTGTCCAATAGAACTTTATGCAGTGATAGAAATGTTTTGTATATGTGGTATCCAATAGGGTAGCTACTAGGTACATGTGGCTACTGAGTACATGAAATGTGACTACTAAATTTTTAAAATATAGATAGATAGATAGGTCTTGCTCTGTTGCCAGGCTGGTTTTGAGCTCCTGGGCTCAAGCAATCCTCCTTCCTTGGCCTCCGTAAGTTTTGGGATTACAAGTGTGAGCCACTGCTCCCAGCCTGAATTTTTAATTAAATTTAAATTTAAATAGCCACACATGCCTAATGGCTACCATATTGAACAGCGCAGTTCTAGACCAGTGTGATTCAGGATCATTCCCTCAGCATCCGTGGGCAAAGAGAAAACGGCCCCACGCTGGCTTGTAGAAGGCTCAGGTGAAGGTTTCCCAATGTCAGGGTGGGATGCACTCAGAAGCATCGCCCCCTATGGTCCTCAATCGCTAACAGCTCCACTCAGGTTCATTTCTAGGTCAGGGAAGTTTCTTTGACATAGAAGGAATCACCCAGCTCTGGGAGATAGAGCAGCCTACATTCAAGTAGTCCTTGGTTCAAGACAAGGGGCCCTTGGCTGGCTGTGGTTTCAGTTCCAGCTCTGCCATCAACTCATTCATCAGATAAACCGTGCATCTCCAGTGTGCCTGCCTCTGGGCTAGATTTTGACGTGGCCTTGGCCAAGCAACTCTCTGCACTTCAGTTTCTCATATATCATATGAATTAGCTAAGATAGTTCATTTAATCATTCATTGAACACATCTATCACCACATAGTAGGTGTCTGATATTTATTTCATATGTAACTATGCACAAGAGGCTGCTAAATTTTAGGTAATATACAAGTCCCAGATATGGAGTGAGTCCCAACCACTGTACATACTTGAATGTATAATTATATCAGTGTGAGAGGTGTCACAGTAAATGCCATCAGGTCTTGTATTAATCCGTTCTCACACTGCTATGAAGAACTACTTAGACGGGTGCGGTGGCTCACACCTGTAATCCCAGCACTTTGGGAGGCTGAGGCAGGTGAATCACCTGAGGTCAAGAGTTCAAGACCAGCCTGGCCAACATGGTGAAACCCTGTTTCTACTAAAAAATACAAAAATTACCCAGGCTACTCAGGAGGCTGAGGCAGGAGAATCACTTGAACCCAGGAGGTGAAGGTTGCAGTGAGCCAAGATCACACCACTGCACTCCAGCCTGGGTGACAGAGTGAGACTCCATCTCAAAAGAAAAAGAACTACCTGAGACTGAATGCTTTATGAAAAAAAGAGGTTTTAATTGACTCAGAGTTCCACAGGCTTAACAGGAAGCATGGCTGGGAAGCCTCAGGAAACTTACAATCATGGCAGAAGGCAAAGAGGCAGCAGGCACATCTTACTATGATGGAGCAGGAGCAGGGTTGTGGGGGATGTGCCACACACTTAAACAATCAGATCTTGTGAGAACTCACTCACTATCACGAGAACAGCAAGGGGGAAGTCCGCTCCCATGATTCATTTGCCTCCATGGGAATTACAATTCGAGATGAGATTTGGGTGGGGACGTAGAGCCAAACCACATCAGATCTCAAGAAGGGAGAAATTCTTCTTGGAGAAGCTGGAGATGCTTTGTGGAGTGTCTCAGCATGCATTGCCCACTGTTTGGTGTATCCATTTCTCTTCACTCATACCAAAGGCCAAACCAAGAAACCAGAAGCCTCTGGTCCCACTGGCCCACGGACTCCCTTGGTCCCTGCAGTCGCTAACGGCCATTTCGCATGTCTCTCTCCCAGCCCTGCACTCTTGAACAGTGCTGAAAACTTCACTGTGCTCATCAAGAATAATATCGACTTCCCTGGCCACAACTACACCACGTAAGTGCCCAGGCTGCCTGGCTGTGTTAGTTATCCACTGCTGCGTAGTAAATTATCCCAAACCTCAGATGCCTGAAACTCCAAACGCCTATTGTCTCCCACGGTGTCTGTGGGTCAGGAATCTGGGAATGACTTTGCTGTGTGGTTCTGAATCAAGGTCTGTCAGGTAGTAGCCAAGCTGTCAACCAGGGCTGCAGTCAGTTCTAGGCTTGACTGGGGCTGGAGAATGCTTTTCCAAGCTCTCCACAGTTGGTGGGAGGGCTCAGTTCCTCACCAAGTGAACCTCGCCCAGAGCCACTTGAGAGTCCTTGGGATATGTGGCTGGCTTCCCCCAGAGCAAGGGACCCAAGAGACAGAGCAAGCAACCAAGAGTATCAAGATGGAAGCCACAGTCTTTGGGAGCGAGACTCCGGCACTTCCACCATATGCTATTGGTCACACAGGCCAACCATGGTCCAATGTGAGAGGCCACTGCCCTAGGGTCCCAGGAGGCGGGGATCACTTGGGGCTTTTCATGGAAACTTTCTGCCACACTGGCTCACTTCTGGGAAAGAGACAGATCTGTTTTCTTTTTTTCTTTTTTTTTTTTTTTGAGACAGTTTGCTCTTGTTGCCCAGGCTGGAGTGCAATGGTACAATCTTGGCTCACTGCAACCTCTGCCTCCTGGGTTCAAGCGCTTCTCCTTCCTCAGCCTCCCAAGTAGCTCAGACTACAGGCATGAGCCACCACACACAGCTAATTTTGTATTTTTAGTAGAGACAGGCTTTCTCCCTGTTGGTCAGGCTGGCCTCGGCCTCCTGACCTCAGGTGATCTGCCCTCCTCAGCCTCCCAAAGTGCTGAGATTACAGGTATGAACCACTGCACCTGGCCAAGAGACAGGTCTGTTTTCAAAAGAGGTGTTTATTTGTTCGTTTGCTTTTAATTATGCACAGGAGAAACATCTTGCCAGGTTTAAACATCACTTGTACCTTCCACAAGACTCAGAATCCACAGTGTCCCATTTTCCGACTAGGAGACATCTTCCGAGAAACAGGAGATAATTTTTCAGATGTGGCTATTCAGGTTGGTGGCACTTTGTGTACTGGGATGTGGGGTGGGGGTGTCTGGAGATGGAGAATGTCAAATACCAAGAGGCTGGGCCACTGGGTCTTCATAATGCGGCTCACATTTACTGAGCATTTAGTAAATCCACGCACTGTGCCAAGGGCTTTACCTACGCTACTTCATCAAATCCCAAAACAATCTTAGGAGTGAGGGATTTGGTGTATTCCTTTCCTGTGGCTGCTGTAACAAGTTACCAAAGTTTAGTGGCACATTTTCTTTTGTTTTTCTTTTTTTTTGACAGAGTCTTGCTCTGTCACCTAGGCTGGAGTGCAGTGGCGCAATCTCGGCTCACTGCAACCTCCACCTCCCAGGTTCAAGTGATTCTCCTGCCTCAGCCTCCTGAGTAGCTGGGATTACAGGAATGCGCCACCACACTCAGCTAATTTTTTTGTATTTTTAGTAGAGACGGGGTTTCACCACGTTGGCCAGGCTGGTCTCGAACGTTGGACCTCATGATCCGCCTGCCTCAGCCTCCCAAAGCGCTGGGATTACAGGCATGAGTCACCGTGCCCGGCCTGGACTTGATCTTTAATGGGGGTGTGGGGGGCATTAAAGGTGTTTGAGTGCAGGAATGATCTGTTGAAAGTAGTATTTTAGGACAATGAATGTAACGGTGGTGTGTCCCTGATGGGAGTGGGGAGAGTGAGGAGACGCGTTTGTGGCTGCCACAGTAACGCTTATGCGAGTTAGATGAGGCAGTACATATGGTTCATTAATCAGACTTTTTCCTCTAAAAACCTTGAGCGATCATGGCTGTGCAGGGAGATGTCTGGCGGTTGCATAAGTCACTCCCAGCAGCCGTAGAGACTGTCTCTTGTTGACTCCTTCAGGGCGGAATAATGGGCATTGAGATCTACTGGGACTGCAACCTAGACCGCTGGTTCCATCACTGCCGTCCCAAATACAGCTTCCGTCGCCTTGATGACAAGACCACCAACGTGTCCTTGTACCCTGGCTACAACTTCAGGTAACTCCAGGGCCCTGGGTCAGACTCGCCCAGTAGCTGAATCGCAACCCCAGCAGCTGGTGAGACTAATTTTGGTTCCCAAGGCAACAAGATGAAAAAAAAAAAAGACTTACTCTAAGAACTAGACCGGGTTCGGTGGCTCACGCCTGTCGGCCCAGCACTTTGGGAGGCCAAGGCGGGCTGATCAATTGAGGTCAGGAGTTCGAGGCCAACCAGAGCAACATGGCGAAACCCTGTCTCTACCAAAAATACAAAATTTGCTGGGCTTGGTGGCACGCACCTGTAATCCCAGCTACTTGGGAAACTGAGGCAGGAGAATTGTTTGATCCTGAGAGGTGGAGGTTGCAGTGAGCCAAGATTGCACCTTTGCATTCCAGTCTGGGCGACAGAACAAGACTCTGTCTCAAAATTAATTAATTAATTAATAGAAACAACTAGGTGGTGACTGAATTTTCAGCATTTTTAAAAAATTCTCAGAGATGCACACTTTTTTTTTTTTTTTTTGAAACAGAGTCTTGTTGTGTCACCACCCAGGCTGGAGTGGAGTGGCGCAGTCTCAGCTCACTACAGCCTCCACCTTCCGGGTTCAAGCAATTCTCCTGCCTCAGCCTCCCAAGTAGCTGGGATTACAGAAGGATGCACCCTTTTTATAAAACAAAACTAATGGGAAACAGAAAAGCATAGAGGGAGATAAAAATGACTCATAATTCCCCTACCCTGAAATAATCAATGATAACTGTCAGAGAAATTTTCCTCGTCTATACCAATTATTTCATGAGGCTCCTGTGAGATCGTAGCATATGTATACTTTGGTATTCCCTGGGGTTTTTCATGCCCCAATCACTCAAAATTCTTTGTAACCATCACACTAATGACTATAACATTCCATCGTGTGGGTGTACAAATAACACCTGCTACAATTCAGGAAGCGTTTTCTTTTCTTTTTTTTTTTTTTTTTAAGATGGAGTCACACTCTGTCACCCAGGCTAGAGTGCCATGGCACAGTCTCAGCTCACTGCAACCTCTGCCTCCTGGGTTCAAACAATCCTTCAGCCTCCCAAGTAGCTGGGACCACAGGCATGTGCCACCACACCCAGCTAAATTTTGTATATTCAGTAGAGACAGGGTTTCACTATGTTGGTCAGTCTGGCCTCGAACTCTTGACCTCAAGTGATCTGTCTGCCTCGGCTTCCCAAAGTGTTGGGATTGCAGGCGTGAGCCATGGCACCTGGCCCAGGGAGGGTTTTCTGTAACAGGCAATCAGCATCATCATCCCTAAATCTCCCAACAACCCTGGAAGAAAGATTTTATGGTTCCTGGAAGATGATTTGCCCAAGACCCACAGCTGATAGTAGGTGCCGCGTAACTCTAGCCAACATCACCCTGACCCCACACTCACCCTCCATCCCTTCGTTCCCATCTCATGATTTTCTCACCCATGCCTCCATGATTGAATATTTGAGTTGTTTCCAGTTTTTCTATTACAAGTAACTGCAGTGTGCATCTTTGCACATAAACTTTTGTTTGAATTTCAGGTTACTTCCTTAGGATAAACTTCTAGACTTATTGAATCAAAGGTTGTGAACATTCTATCATATGCTTTCAGATTTTTTAAAGTATGTATGGTTGGCCAGGTGCAGTGGCTCATGTCTGTAATCCCAGCACTTTGGCAGAGGCAGGCAGATCACCTGAGGTCAGGAGTTTGAGACCAGTCTGACCAATATGGAGAAACCCTGTCTCTACTAAAAATACAAAATTAGCCTGGCGTGATGGTGTGCACCTATAATCCCAGCTACTCAGGAGGCTGAGGCAGGAGAATCGCTTGAACCCAGGAGGCAGAGGTTGCGGTAAGCCAAGATGGCACCATTGCACTCCCAACTTGGGTAACAATAGCGAAACTCTGTCTCAAAAATAAATAAATAATAAAAATATCTCTGGTTATCATGGTTTTTTTCCAGAGACAGACTCTCACTCTGTCGCCCAGGTTGGAGTGGAATGGGTATGATTATAGCTCACTGCAACCTCTGCCTCCAAGGCTCAAGCGATCTTCCCAACTCAGCCTCCTGAATGGCTAGGACTACAGGTGCACGCCACCATGCCCAGCTAATTTTCAAAAAATTTTTGTAGAAAGGGGGTTTCAATGTATCACCCAGGCTGGTCTCAAACTCCTGGGCTCAAGCAATCCGCCTGCCTCAGCCTCCTAAACTGTTGGGATTACAGGTGTGAACCACTGTGCCTGGCCTGTAATTTTCATTTCTAGGATTTTTATTTGGTTCTTTTTCAAAGTCATCTATTATTGTTCCAGTGAGTCCCATTCTTACCTTAAGGATCCTACTCCTTCTGTTCATTCTACTGTATCATTCTTTTTTATTATTTATTTATTTTTATTTTTTTGAGCTGGAGTCCCCCCCTGTTGCCCAGGCTAGAGTGCAATGGCACAATCTCAGCTCACTGCAATCTCCACCTCATGGGTTCAAACGATTCTCCTGCCTCAGACTTCCAAGGAACTGGGATTACAAGTGTCCGCTCCCACACCCAGCTAATTTTTGTATTCTTGGTGGAGACTCCTGACCTCATGATCTGCCTGCCTCAGCCTCCCAGAGTGCTGGGATTACAGGAGTGAGCCACTGCATCTGGCCCTGTATCATTCTTTTGTTGACAAGGAGAAGGCCAACTGGAACTCTCCTACTGGTGGGGGTGTAAAATGGTACAACCACATCAGAGAATTGTTAAGAAGTTTCTTATCAAGTTAAGCATACACCTACCCTGTAATCTAGAAATCTCACAGTCCCATTCTTAGGTATTTGCCCAAGAGAAATGAAAATATATGTCCACACAAAGATTCATACAAAATGTTCACAGCAGCCTTATTCATAATAGCCAAAAACCAGAAACAACCCAAATGTCCAACAATAGGTGAATGGATAAATTGTGATATATGTATATAATAAAACACTACTCAGCATAAATTTTAAGAGAAACTAACTACTGATACGTGCAAGAACATAGATGAATCGGTCCCACAGACAGTAATTATGCTGAGGGAAAGAAGCCAGACCGAAATGGTACAATACTGTATGACACCATTTATATAAAGTTCAAGAAAAGGCAAAGCTCATTTAGATAGAAGACAGAACAGTGGTTGCTGAGCTGAGGAGGGCATGGGGTAAGGATTGACTACAAAGGAGTACAAGAGAGTTTTCTAAGACAATGGATGTTCTAGATTTTGATAGGGATATCAATTTTTTTTTTTTTTTTTTTAAAGACAGGGTCTCATTCTGTCACCCTGGTTGGAATGCAGTGGTGCCATCTTGGCTTACTGCAACCTCCACCTCCTGGGCTTAAGCAATCCTCACATCTCAGCCTCCTGAGTAGCTGGGACTACAGGTGCAAGCCATCATGCTCGGCTAATTTAAAAACAATTTTTTTTTGGTAGAAACTGGGTCTCAGTATATTACCAAGCATAATCTCTTGTCTTGACCTTTCAACATGCTGGGATTATAAGCATGAACCACTGTGCCCAGTTGGGATATAGATTATACCAGGTATTTATTTTTCAAAACTCATTGACGGGAACCCTTAGAATTTATGTATTTTATCATATGTAAATTATTTCTTAGTAGAACAAATCCAACCAAACTATCACACATAATGATAAATGCCATGAAGAAAGTCAAGCAAGACAGTCCGATGGGGGAGACGTGACCAGGGAAAGCCTCTCCAAGCATGGGGGCAGACCCCTGAAGGCATCATTCACTTTCCAGTTTTCCCAGTTAAGAATAAGAAAAACTGCACAGACAGGAACCCCTATCAAAATCTAGAATGTTCTGGCTGGGTGCAGTGGTTCATGCCTGCCGTCCCAGCATTTTGAGAGGCTGGGAAGTGGGAGGACTGTTTGAGCCTGGGAGCTTGAGACCAGATGGAAGCATAGTGAGATCCTGTCTCTAAAAAATAAAAATAAAAAATAGCAGAGCTGGGTATGGTGGCGTATGCCTGTAGTTCCAGCTACTCGGAAGGCTGAGGTGGGAGGATCGCCTGAGCTCCGGAGTTCAAGGTTGCACTGAGCTGTGATCATGCCACTATACTGCAGCCTGGGCAACAGAGTGAGACGCTGTCTCAAATATATACATATAGAGAGAACATTCCATCATCCCAGAAAACTCTCTTGTACTCCTCTCTAGTCAATTCCTACCCCTAGCCCCCCAGCTCAGCAACCCCTGTCCTGTCTTCTTTCATCTTAAATGAGTTTTGCCTGTTCTTAAACTTCATATACAGTAAACAGCATTATACATAGGAATCAATTTGGAAAAAACTTATCTGAATCCCTTTGGTATTTATGGTCTAGACTAGTGGTTCTCAAAGTGCAGTCCCCAGCATCAGCATCACATAGGACCCTGTTAGAAATGTACATGACCGGCCGGGCGCTGTGGCTCACATCTATAATCCCAGCACTTTGGGAGGCTGAGGCAGGCGGATCACTTGAGATCAGGAGTTTGAGACCAGCCTGGCCAACATGCTGAAACCCCATCTCTACTAAAAAAAACAAAAATTAGCCAGGTGTGTTGGTGCCTGCCTGTAATCCCAGCTATCTGGGAGGCTGAGGCAGGAGAATCACTTGAACTTGAGAGGTGGAGGCTGCAGTGAGCTAAAATCACACCACTGCACTCCAGCCTGAGTGACAGGGTGATACTCTGTATCAAAAAAAAGGGGGTGGGGGGCCGGGTGTGGTGGCTCACACCTGTAATCCCAGCACTGGGAGGCCAAGGCGGTCGGATCACAAGGTCAGGAGTTCAAGACCAGTCTGGCCAACATAGTAAAACACCATCTGTACTAAAAATACAAAATTAGCCGGGCGTGGTGGTGCATGCCCGTAATCCCAGTCACTCAGGAGGCTGAGGCAGGAGAATCACTTGAAGGCAGAGGCTACAGCGAGCTATATTCAAACCACTGCACTCCAGCCTGGAAGACAGAGCCAAAAAAATGAAAACAAACCAACAACAACAGAAAGACGAATCACTCAATATAGCAGCAGGAGAAAAAGTTCTCTTGGAATAACCACATGCAAAGAAACTGAATTCCCTCCAGTCAGAAACAGGAACTACAGTGCCTGAGAATATCTAATCGATTTCAGTGTCAGGTCTTGAAAGAGTTTTTGTTTTTTTGTTTTTGTTTTTGTTTTCTAAGATAGAGTTTTGCTCTTGTTGCCAAGGTTGGAGTGCAATGACACGATCTTGGCTCACTGCAACCTTCGCCTCCCAGGTTCAAGCGATTCTCCTGCTTTGGCCTCCTGAGTAGCTGGGATTATAGTCATGCACCACCACGCCTGGCTAATTTTTGTATTTTTATTTATTTATTTATTTATTTATTTTATAAAGACGGGGTTTCACCATGTTGGTCAGGCTGGTCTTGAACTCCCAACCTCAAGTGATCTGCCCGCCTTGGCCTCCAAAGTGCTTGGATTACAGGCGTGAGCCACCACACCTGGCCAATTTTTGTATTTTTAGTAGAGATGGGCTTTCACTATGTTAGTCAGGCTGGTCTCCAACTCCTGACCTCGTGATCCACCCACCCAGGCCTCCCAAAGTGCTGGGATTACAGGCGTGAGCCACCACATCCGGCCGAGAGGTTTTTTAAAAAGCATTTCAGATGTTCCTTACTATTTTTTGGCAGAACATCTGCCATCTGCTTTCTTCTCTCCCCACATCTGTATTAATAACTCAGAAAAAATATATATGTATATGTAACCTTATATAAAACCAACTATCAAAAAGTGGTAAGAAGAAAGGGCAGATTTAAAAGTTTTATGAAGCATTCGTTTTAAGCCTCTGCAATTATTCCTGAAAAACAAAACACACCACTTTTCCTGACTGCAGTACTGGTGAGGATTGCATATTAGGAGTGACTGTGATGATTTGTGCCCGGGGCTTAATTTATAAAGTTAGTACTGAGTGATGGCATACAGAGGTCAATGCCACTGAAAGAAGATTTTTATTTTTTTTTGAGATTCTCACTCTGTTGCCCAGGCTGGAGTACAGTGGTGGCATGATCTTGGCTCACTGCAGCCTCCACCTCCTGGGTTCAAGTGATTTTCCTACCTCAGCCTCCCAAGTAGCTGGGATTACTGGTACCTGCCACCACACCCAGCTAATTTTTGTATTTTTAGTAGAGATGAGGTTTCACCATGTTGGCCAGGCTGCTCTCGAACTCCTGACCCCAGGTGATCCGCCCGCCTTGGCCTCCCAAAGTGCTAGGATTACAGGTGTGAGCCACCATGCCTGGTCAAAAAGAATTTATTACATACTTTTCCCAAGAGATGGGGCCACACCATGCCATCCCAGGCCACACCAGGCATTACCACACTAGACAGGGCCACAGGATGAAGTACCAGATTTAGTCAGGAGGCAGAATAAAGGGGAAAGAATGGTCTAGAAGCTTTGTTGTGTTTTCCAGTGGAAGGGCAAGGGAGGACTGGGGAAACAGGGTTAACGACTTTGAATAATGCCAGTGGGTTCTGGGTTACAGGGGTGGTCTCTAAATGTCTGGCCCTCACCCTACCTGCCCCTAAGGAGAAATACTAGACAGTTAGAAAAGGAGGTGGCTATGGGATTGGTCGGAGATATTGTAATACGATTTTCACACCCTCACAAAAGCTGGATTGCAGGGGAGATGTAAACAATTTCAGCCTTGGGGGGCCAAGATGAAAGGACGGCTTGAAGCCAGAAGTTCAAGGCTGCAACAAGCTATGATCGCACCACTGCACTCCAGCCTAGTTGAAAGAATGAGACCCTGGCACTAAAACATGTTTGAATTTTTTTTTTTTTTTTTTTTTTTTTGAGACAGTCTTGCGCTGCAGCCCGGGCTGGAATGGTGTGGTGTGATCTCGGCTTACTGCAACCTCTGTCTCCTGGGTTCAAGCGATTCTTATGCCTCAGCCTCCCGAGTAGCTGGGATTACAGGCATGTGCCACCATGCATGGCTAATTTTTGTATTTTTAGTAGAGACGGGGTTTCACCATGTTGGCCAGCCTAGTCTGGAACTCCTGACCTCAAGTGATCCACCCGCCTTGGCCTCCCAAAGTGCTAAGATTACAGGCGTGAACCACCACGTCCAGCAGAAAAATTTAAAAATAAAAATTAGCCACCTGTGGTGGTGCATGCCTGTAGTCCCAACCCAGCTACTTGGGAGGCTGAGCTGGGAGTATCACTTGGGCCCAGAAGGTGGAGGCTGCCGTGAGTTATGATCATGCCAGTGCTCTTCAATCTGGTGACAGAACAAGACCCCACCTCAAAAAAACAAAACAAAACAAAAAACACAACTTCAGCCTTTAGTTTGGCCCTGTGATTATTAATTGCCAAATAGACATATACACAAAGAAGCTAAGAAAATACAGTGTGCTGAGGTGCGCCTGTTCCAGCCCAGTAATTAGTATCTAAGATTCACCACCAGCCACTCCCACTTTGTTCTACATGCCAAACTTCTTTTTCCCCCTTAAGAAACAGTCAGATTGCTTGAAGTTATTTTTTTAAATGCCTCGGCTTGAGGTTAATCCTATGTTGGTTTAAAACGCGCATTTTAATCTTAAGCGACAAGCTGATTTTCCGTCACTCTGAGATGACGCAAGGACAGGCAGTGGTGCAGGGAGGGGATGCTCTTCAGTTCAGGGTGGGAGAGAGCCACCAGGGTTTTCAATCATGTTCCTTCCCCCGCCACTTGTGGCAGAGCCAGGGACAGACCATGAGGACTAGATGGGCCACTGTTTGGGCTTTTCCTTCCATCAAATACCAACATTTTTGGCCAGATGCGGTGGCTTATGCCCGTAATCCCAGACACTTGGGAGGCCGAGGCAGGCGAATCACTTGAGCTTAAGAGTTTGAGACCAGCCTGGGCAACATGGCAAAACCCCGTGTCTACAAAAACTTCAAAAAATTCCATCCTAGCCAACATGGTGAAACCCCATCTCTACTAAAAATACAAAAATTAGCCGGGCATGATGGCACGTTCCTCTAATCCCAGCTACTCAGGAGGCTGAGGTAGGAAAATAGCTTGAACCCAGGAGGTGGAGGTTGCAGTGAGCTGAGATTGTGCCACTGCACTCACTTCAGCCTGGTGACAGAGCAAGACTCCATCTCAAAAAAATACAAAAGAATTAGCCAAGAATGGTGGTGCCTGCCTGTAGTCCCAGCTACCTGGGAGGCTGAGGTGGGAGAATCATCTGAGCCTAGGAAGTCAAGGCTGCAGTGAGCAGTGATCCCGCTACTGCACTCCAGCCTAGGACAGAGTGAGACACCGTCTCAAAAAAAAGAAAAAAAAAAGACCCAGCCCTTTCAAAGAGATCTTTATACAAATAGATCTTTCTCTTCCTTCAGATATGCCAAATACTACAAGGAAAACAATGTTGAGAAACGGACCCTGATAAAAGTCTTCGGGATCCGTTTTGACATCCTGGTTTTTGGCACCGTAAGTCTCCTCTCCCAGCTCCAGGCACCTGCATCCTGTGACTGTCCTAATGGGTGCTGTGGGGCCTCCGTGGAGGGAAGGTTTTTGGTCACAGCCATTCGCTAGCACTGGGCATTTCACACGTGGGATAAAAGAGGAGGGAGATGTCCTTGGGGTGCTGTCCTTGAATGAGTGATCTCACCAGTACAGGAGTGGCCTGGAAGGCAATTCTCAGATATGGCTTTAAAAATACTCTGATACGTAAAAAGAGAGAGAAATAAATCTCTTTGTAAAATAGTTTGTAAGTAACAGAATCCAACTCAAATTGGCTTAAGGGAAAAAAAAATTTTTTTTTTTTTAGTTGGCTTTTTCTGGTTCACATAACTGAAAAAATCCAGGGGTTATTTTATTTATTTTATTATTTTTATTTATTTATTTATTTTGAGATGGAGTCTTACTCTTTGCCAGGCTGGAGTGCAGTGGCTTGATCTCAGCTCACTGCAACGTCCACCTCCTGGGTTCAAGCAATTATCTTGCCTCAGCCTCCTGAGTAGCAGGGACTACAGGTGCCCGCCACCCCACCCAGCTTATTTTTGTATTTTTAGTAGAGACACAGTTTCACCATGTTGGCCAGAATGGTCTCGATCTCTTGACCTCATGATCCACCTGCCTCAGCCTCCCAAGTAGCTGGGATTACAGGTGCCTGCCACCCACACTAGCTTATTTTTGTATTTTTAGTAGAGATGGGGTTTCAGCACCTTGGCCAGGTTGGTCTTGAACTCCTGACCTTATGATCCACCCACCTCAGCCTCCCAAAGTGCTGGGATTACAGGCGTGAGCCACTGTGCCCACCCCTCCACCCCAGGGATTATTTTTAAGCTTCAAGCATGGCTGGATCCAGGGATTCAAACAACGTTCTCATCAAGAACTTACTGCCCTCTGTGTCTTATATACATATGTCCTCCTCAGTCTTGGCACCATCCCCAGACTGGCCATCTCTCTACAAAGGTATCAGGCAGCACCTTCAATCTGACTGGTTTAGGAACCTCAGTGAAAAGAAAAAAACTGTTTGCCAGAAGGTTCAGCAAAGGTCTCAGACAAATGTCATTGGCTCTGATTGGCCCACTATGAATGGCATGCCCACTGCTGAACTAATCACTGTGACCACAGTCATGCCATACTCCCAGTGGTTGGTCTCGAACCAGCCATAACCCAGCCCCTTCAAAACACACACACACACACACACACACACACACACACACACACACACACA